GTAAGGGTGGGTGTGGGTGAGTGGGGGTAATGGTGAGAGTGAGCACTTGGTGCTGAACGGTCGTTATTACTCAAATGTCGGTCGCTCAAATGTCGGGGCGCTCAAGTGTCGGTCGCTCAAGTGTCGGGGTCGCTCAACTGTCGGTCGCTCAAATCATCTCGGAAAGTTCCCTCGTTAGGTGAAAAAACTTTTCTTTGTTTTTCTTTGTTCGACTACTTTGCAAATCGAGTTGTATAGGTATAAGTAATAGTTTCTGTTCTCCTGTACAAACTTCATTCCAATAGAAAAGTACCCTAGAAAATCAGAATGACAAATTATCCTTGACATTGTGTAATAATTAAAAAAAGAAAGAAGAAGAAAGAAGAAAATTTTGCCGATTCATATGACGAATGATTGCACAATCACCCAACATTGCATGAGATGAACGATTCAGTCAGTCTACATATAATAATGGCACGTTTGTACCAGAAATTTCGAATTTTTCACTCCAAATGGGTGGTAACGCTTTAAAAAATGTTGTATGTCGACGTTACAATCGTGCAGAGTATTTTGAATTGAAACGAAAAATTTTATCAGTATTAACACCATATGCCGAAAAGATTGGGGTTCCTACCGAAATGCCGCAAAAAGAGTCATTCGGTGATTTGGATGTTTTGTTTGTACCTCGAAAAGATGTTATGGATAAAGAAAGCATCTCTTTAAGATGTTCGGGTGTAATATCCAACCAATGAAAGAGGTGTTCGAATGTTTTGGGTGAAATTTATTAGTCTAATGACGTATTAAATTCAAGAAGTGAGACGTTTCAGGTGGTTTATGTGCAATATATCACGTAGCATTTTCCAGCAGTCACTATTAAATCCTGGTTATTTTGATGTCGAGAAAGAACGGTCATTGTAGATTTGACTTATTTTTGTATACTCTTTCCTGTTTTATTTTCATTGTTATGTTTCAATGTCAGAAACGTCTTTACCAGTATTGAAATAACTTCAATTAATAGTTCTTTCGTTTGTGCCAAAAGCAAGGACAGTTGATTTTTGAGCTTAAAAAATCGGTTTAAATCGACGAAAATCGATAAAATTCGCAAAAAATGACTGAAAATTCGTGTTACTTGTTAACAGGCGAGAATTCAGCGTTGTCTGCTGACCGTTTATCATGCGTAAGGCAAATGATCAAAAATAACATTAACATTTGTCTAGCCTTTTTTTTCTTTACTTTCACTATGTCTGATTCCTCTTTTGTACAAATAAAGCAGGTTCTGCACAATTGATCGCGGTCTTTACTTGATTTCACAAACAAATCAAAAGAAATCGGAAAAAATCGATGAAAGTCATTGGAAAATCAGAAAAATCGAAAAACCAGTTGTTTCCCCCTTGGCTAAAAGTCACTGGAAAAAGGCACCAAAAAATCAGGAATATTTTGTCAACGTTCCAGTCTAAACTTTATTCGACGCGGATACTTAATATAGTTTTCCATAGAGTTCTACGGAGAAGATCTTTGTGAAACAGCGCTCTATTGAAATACGCTATACCACTATGGCTAAGACGTGTTTTTCGTGTGAAAAACGAAAGTGCATCGGAAAAATTAGCAGGACTCGTTTACATCGAACAAATTGTGTAGAGGATACAAAATATGATTGTTACTATATGGCATCTAGATAGACATCTAGGCACAACTTATAGAAATGTTGACTAAAGAGCGAACTGTGTATGCTTAAACGTAAAAAAATATCTAGCATCGTCCGATTCACCTAGATTGCTAGATATTTACTCGATTAATACAGATGTGTAGGATAGGAATGAAAGTAATGTGGACAAATACAGGCAAGAACAATGCGTTTTTTCACTAGACATCTTTAATGACTGATTCTCAACGTAACATGAGAGAGTTTTTAATTGATTTATTTCATCCAACAGAAATTGTACATAACGCTGATGTTTATTCATTTGATCATGAACAATTTCAGATGGATGTTATCTACGGGAAAGAAGAAAGTTTTGATAATTCATTAGTAAATTTATCTTATTCTGACTTAGGTGGATTTGTTGGAAATATTTGTAATAAAATTGGTTTGAAATATGGTCAACAAGGTTTATGGATGAACATATGCGCAGAAGAATTCAATCATTCCACATCATCGGCTGAATTATTCTTATCGAACAATGTCAAACAAATATTTGACTTTCTAGGTTATGATTATCAAACATATATAAACGGATTTGATAATGAAACTGACTTTTTTGCGTGGATTAAATCGACAAAATACTTTAAACGAAAATATTTCGATAATCAACAAAAGCATCGCAATCGAATGGCTGTAAGAAAACGACAGATTTATTTCAATTTTCTTCAATATTTGAATCAACAACAAGAAGTTGAACACGAATGTGATGATAATTGCAATGGCGACGAAGAACGAATGGAAACTCGACAGCATGCACTTGAATATTTTAATAAACAAGCAGAATACAATTATCAGTTGAAACTGCTTTCAGATAAAAAGGCATTCAAAGAAAAATATTCTGGTAAATCTTTTTATACTTTAGTACCTCAACACATGATTAATGTACATATGAACAATTTTCAAAAACAGTTTGGTGATGATGAACAATTCCAGCAATGGGTCCTTCATAACGATCGTAAAACAATTGAAGATAAAATTCAGACTTATATTGAAAATTTCAAAAATTACTCAAATGTCGGAGCGCTCAAGTGTCGGTCGCTCAAGTGTCGGTCGCTCAAGTGTCGGTCGCTCAAGTGTCGGGGTCGCTCAACTGTCGGTCGCTCAAGTGTCGGTCGCTCAAATGTCGGTCGCTCAGATGTCAGTCGCTCAAATGTCGGGGCGCTCAAGTGTCGGCGCTCAAATGTCGGCGCTCAAATGTCGGGCGCTCAAACGTCGGTTAATCTACAATTATATATGAATGTATAACTTAACTTATCGTTTATACATCCATACATACATTTATGACACTCATTTATATTAAATAAATCAAAGTATAGATCGACACAAGATACGACATACCTAGACACATTTCTTTCATTGGTAATCCTTGTTGTTGTGGATCTACTTGTGTTGTTGGAATATAATACGATACATCTGGACTATGCTGAAAATAAAATGGTTGAAATGTATCAAAAATAAAATCCCCCATGTATTCGTTCATATATGTTCGTAATACTCGTCGATCAAAATCATCAATTGCTCGTCCACCGTACATTACCTAAAAATAGAATATCAAAGAAAAATGTTAATACCCACTCTATACATAAACTATTTCACTTATTCACCTCTCCAATTAAATATTTCAATGAGCCCCATGGAATTCTTGTATCATTATTTGCTACAGCTTTTGTCAAATACGTATCTAATATTTGCATACAAACACGAAAATCGGACTCATTAAAATCATACGATACATTCCAACCAATTTTATCATATTTTCGTCGTTCTTGTACAACGGCATGAAAAAATGCTAATACAAATACTAATGATGGAAATGCTTCATGTGGACAATCATTAAATTGTTGACCAGATATTTTAAAAAATGTATTTCGTAAATTTAATTTCAAACCGTTGGGTGGTTCTGTAACAACCTAAAATAAAAAATAATTTTATTTATTATAATAAAATTATAATTTATTTTATTGTATTATATCTCTTACTTTTAATGATCGTTGTAATATTCCAATAGGAAATTTAGGTGTTGGCTCTGTTGTAAGCCATAAACGAACATCGGGATGTGGTTTTGACATTTTATCAAGATGTTTTTCCAATTCTAAAAGCCATTTAACAGTAAATAACAATTTTGTAACATAAGCCAATAGCCTCGACTAGCTGCTTGTTCAAGTAATCCAATGGCAATCTAAAAAAGGTATTATTATATAGATCAATAAAAATGTGAATAAACTCATTGAACTTTATTATATTTTTTCTTGTCCTTGACCCATTGCCAATAATTTCACTTTAGTAACACCAAATTCCATTCGTTCAGCTAATTTTAATAAATCTGTTGTTGGATCACTGCCGGCACTTAATATAAAAATAATTGGTGATAATGGTGTACTTTATTCCCAAATGGCTTCAAAATGAACAACAGGTGGTGTAACAAATTGCTCAGCTAAAAAAATAAAAAAGTTTGATTTATTATTCTATTCTTTAATAATAATAAAAAAATATATAAAATAATTTTATTCATTATTTTTGTTACATATTGTGTTATAGCTAAATAAATTCGATCAACACGAAAACATCTTAATAACATTAGACAATGAAATGCTGATAAACGTGTCGAATAATCCAATGGATATTGCTCAATTTC